CAGTAGTGCTCAGCTTGAAGGCACCTCCTCTATGCAGGCCTCCCCCACTGTCCCTTCGATCTTCCCCATTCTCCTCATTTGAATTCACGATTGCCTTTATCCCACTCCAAAAGTAAGGGAAATTGAAGGTGACCCAGACACTGAGGTCCTTAATCAACAGCCTGAGCTATTTTCCCCAAAGAAGCCCGCTGGGGGACATTCCCGGCAGGTGCTCTCTTCTGCACTCAGACTGCAGGTGGCCTCCCAGGGAGAGGCCTCAAGGATGTTGTCAACCAAAAGGTGCTGGGGACAGACTGACAGGCCTCAGGCCGTTTCCTCCAGCCCAGACCAGAGCTCCATTCCCTGGCCTGACCCAAGGCCAAGAGATGGAATTTCTCCTGGGGCACATTCTGCCCTGCCCCAGCTGCCTGCTGAGGATTCCTGGGGGCCTCTGAAAAGACTCAGAGAGGAAACCCCCAGCTCAGCTCAGCCACAGGCTTCTCAGCCTTGAGACCTTGTTACTGTCCTTGGAATGGGAAGGGTGGTCCTGTGTCCCCTTCACAGAGGGGGCTTCCTGCTTCGCCTCCTCTACCATCTTCCCTTCTGTGTCCTCCAGCCCAATTCACAGTACAAGGGCTTGGCACTTAGCTGATGAAGGAATAAAGGGATTTTTGCCCTTGGGGTGGCGCTAGGGGGTAACTTTAGAGTGTCAGAGCTGAGCAGCTGGGGATGTAACAAGCTCACGGAGATGGGCAAAGGACACCCGTCCTGGGAGCTGGGATGTCTGCCTTGGGGCTGGCAGCTCACCAGCTTCTTGGGATAAACAGTGGCTCCTGTGTCCTTTGGTGGAGCTAGCAGGACTGGGCGGTTAGATTTGGCCCCCTCCTGGCCTCTGGGAAGCCCCACAAGGCTCGGCTGTTTTGTCCCCTGTGAGGGCTGACGGGCTGCTCTTGCCAAGGTGAGAGTCTCCCCCAGGCAAAGCAGAGTTCTTAGAGCAATTGTCCCCCCCAACTCTGGCTAACTGGGCCCAAAGCTGTGGACAGTTACATGCTGTCACTGGCATCACCCCTGGCCTTCCTGTGGGGAGCCCCTCCCTGGTAGGGGTTTCCATGACAACTGGGGCTCCAGGAGGGAGTGGGGCGGAGGGAGGCAGTCTGTGGTCTGTGTTCACAGGCCAGGAAGCTTAAGACACCGAAGGAGACACGGCTTCTCCCTTCCCAAAGGGCAGCTGAGGTGCCTGCAGGAGTGAAAAAGGAAGAGGGCATCCAAGGGGACAAACAGAGAGAGCAGAGGAGGGGAGGACAGGGCCAGGGACACCACCGCAGTACCCCTGCAGCCGTCTCACTGCATTGAGACTACATCGTTCTGAAAGGCAAACCTGTGTCGGCCATCAGCAGAACACGGCAGAACACGGCAGAACAGCCCACAGCGTAGGAATCACAAGTTCTGGTTCACACAGCCAGAGACTGTGAATGTCCCAAATGTTGAATCAAAATAGAAATAAGAATCTCCTGCCTCAACATCCAAGAAAACTGTGTCCCTAAACATTTCAGACTGCCACACATTGGCTGGATGCCAGCCTGGTGCCCAAATCCAGAAGGTTCGGAAGGAGTGGCCCTTTATTCTTCTGAAAGGGGCCCCTGAGCAGGTGGGGGCAGTGGGAATGACCGAGGGGCTACATCGCAGCTGCGACTGTCACTTCCTAGTTGTGACTTTGTTCCCAGGTGTACTTCCTGACCCTGAGGTCTGAACCACCAGGGCAGAGAATGTTGGCACTTTACAGTTACAGACTCACTTATTGTCAGGGGTGTGTGACCTGTGCCGTGACAGTGCCCTGTTCTTAGAAGGTCCCTTTTGGGCTTCCTGCTGTACTGCTGCCTTTGGCATGCTTCACTCTGAACACGTGGCCCTGGACTTTCTGATTGTTTAGATCCCTGCCAAGCACGCAGCAACTCCCGTTTATTATCTCATCTGCCCCCACAGCCGGGTGGGACAGGGCCTGGAAGGAATCCTTACCCCAGTTCACTTGTGGAGAGACTGAGTCCCAGAGGCACAGAGGAGAAGTCTAGACGGGACAGACCCTGTGGAATCCCGGGCTGCTTCCATCTGGGACAGCAGCGATCTCCTCTCCTTCCTGTCCTGTTAGCAACCTCTATCCTGTCTCTTGCTTCATCTCATTTCATTAAAAACAAACCAAAACAAACAAACAAATATAAAATCACTTGCTCACCTGCCGGCAAGGAGCTCCTGGGGTTGGACTGTCTCTGACGGCTCTTCCTTTCTGTTGTCCTGTCCAGCACCCAAGAGCTGGCTGGTGTGTCCCACTAAGTCTACAGGCTCTCCACTGTGTCCCCAAGAGACCCCAGCCAAATACTTTGTCTCGGGGGCTGGATGGAGTAGGTTTGAAGGTCAGGAATCCTTCCCAGGGAGGCTTTTCCAAGAGAGGACAAAATACTATCACTTCCTGGCTGGGTGTTTACCTTCCTGGGCTGGGCCAGGGAGGCAGCCACACATGTAGCCCAGAGTCCGTGCTGAGGGAGGTGCTACCCTGGGTGAAGGCTGGGAATGGCTGCAACAGCCTCCAGTGCAAGGTAACACTGATTGCCGGGCAGGGGAGCTCTCACCAGTCTAACTACAGGGCACTCCCATCTGGGATTTGGGAAAGGCTCTGGGTCATCTAGGGTTGGATTCGCTTCTTACATGTGGATGTCTGGGCTCAGCTCGATCATTTCCATGCTTGGGACACTTGCTGCTTTGTGAAGGACCTTTCTCCATTATTGCTGTTATTATTGTTACTGGCAATAGCTTCCTTCCATTCAGTGCTTACCACCTGAAGGGAGCTGGGCTAAAGACATTACATAATCTCCTTATGTAATCCTTACATGGTCACTGTGAGCAGAGAATCATGACCATTTTAAAGACGCAGAAACAGAGGCTCCTGTAGGTCCACCATCTTGCTAGAAGTCCCGCAGCTAGTAAGCTGGGGATCTAGGATAATTAGTTTCAAAACCTGAGCCCTTAACCACTGCCAGCATTTGCCAAGTTTAATTGCTATGGGATCCATCTTTATACAAAAGTCACAGCAGCCTTCATTTTCGCCATCTATTGCTGGTAACAAATTAACCCAAAGCTTGAAACAGCACATATTTGTTATCTCACCCACAGTTTCTGTGGGTCAGGAATGTGGCCGTGGTGTAGCTGGATTCTCTGCTCAGAGTTTCTCATGAGCTACAGTCAAGGGGTCACAGTGGCTGGGGTCTTGACTCAAGGCTCCACTGGAGAGTTCATGGGTTGTTGGCAGCATTCAGCTCCTTTAGGTTGTTTGACCTGGGGGGAGGTCACAATTCTTCACTGGTTGTTAACTGGAGGCACAGAACAGTGACTGTGGTTTTGTCTCTGAAAGCCAGACTGAAGTCATCTCTCATCTACCCATCCAACCATCCATCCATCCACCCATCCTCCTTCTCCATTCAGCAAACATTTGAACAGGACACTACATTAATCTCACAAGATACCAGAAGAAATGGAATCGTTCCCTCTTTTCCCTTACTGTCCCCTGCCACCAAGGGTTCCCAGCAGAGCAGTTACCCTGCCATTGGGGAGACACCTGCCAAGGGCTCTGACCTGCAGGAGCAGTGGCTGCTTCAACAAGCCGTCCGACGCCACATTTCTGAGACCCTCACCCTCCTGTTCACTCTCTTTCATAGTTTCACTCATTTAAAAAGTATATTTTAAGCTGCGGATGGTGGCTTGCACTGTAATGCCAGCTATGTGGCAGGATCGCTTGAGTCTAGGAATTCAAGGCTACAGTGATTGCACCACTGCACTCCAGCCTGGGGCACAGAGCAAGACCTTGTCTCTCAAACACACGTATTTTGAGCACTTCCTAAGTGCAGAGTGTTATGGTAGCTGATGTGTGTGTGCATGTGGGGGGGGGTGGGCAGTAGGTGGCAGGTTCCATACTCCTGGTGGGCAGGACCAGCAGGGGCGCAGGAGTTGTGAGCCCTGGGCCCACCGGCCTGTGGATCTGTCTCCCCACCTTGCTGCCTGAGGCCCAGGGCTGAGGGAGTAAAGTCTGAGATGAGGGTGATGGGGCTGGTGGGGTAGTATCTTGAGGTGCCCAGTGGGATGCCCTGGGGAGCTAGAATCCTAACAGTCTTTGGCACAGGAGACTGAGCCTTTCAAGGGTTTTCAGCTTCTAAAGCCCCTCTGAGCTCCTTTCTTCTCTTCTGCCCCATCTCCCTGTCTTATATGGGCCCCATCCACTGCCACCCAGTGATGGCAACATCCTTAAAACCAGTCTCCTGACTTTAGTTTCTCCCAGTTGCTTCCAGCCCTCCCTACCCCATCCTACTCAGTATCCATGTGAATCTGCTGACACAGACCTGATCTTGTCACTTTCTTGCTCAAAAACATTTTACATAACCTCTATTAAGAGTGGCACGAGTACCCTTCCAGAAATGTTCTATATACATAACTTCTGCCTCCTTCCCCCCATCCCCCCACACATACTCAGGCCAGATCACAGTGTGCATGTACTGTTCCGCATTAGTCTCTTGGTGGTTTTCTGATTCAACACATCTTGAAGTTCTTTGCTGTTTTTAATGGCTGCCTGCTGTTCTGCTATAGAAATAGTCTAGGATGATACTGAGAAATCCCTTTTAAGGCCTGAGTGCCCTTAACCAGAAGTTTCTGCAATGATTTTCTGGGTGTTCATTTTTAATAGGTCATTAGTTTAGCTTATGTAATGAGTTTAATAATCACAAATCCATTTTTTTGTTTGTTTTTTTGAGACAGGATTTCATTCTATCACCCAGGGTAGGGTGCCGTGGCATCGTAATTGCCCACCACAACCTCAAATCCCTGGGCTCAAGTGATTCTCCTGCCTCAGCCTCCTGTGTAGCTGGGACTATAGGCTTGTGCCACCATGTCTTGTTAATTTTTCTGTATTTTGTAGACAGAGTCTTACTCTTGCTCAGGCTGATCTCGAACTCCTGGCCTCAAGTGATCCTCCAGCCTCAGGCTCCCAAAGTGCTAGGATTACAGGTAGGAACCACCACACCGTCAAACTAACTGTTTTAAAGTGATTTCTATAACTGTGTACTGTTAGGAATTGAATAACTAAGTGTAATGAGTTTAATTAATTATAAGAGAGTTTCTTTTAAGATTACCTAGTAATTTCTCATGTCATGTTTGCTTTTAGGAGTGGGAAGAGAAGAATTTAAATGTTTGCATTTTTATTTGCTATAGTTATTTTTAAAAATAAAGTTTAACTATATAAAGATATTGGACCAGGTCTGGTCAAGAAAAAGCCTTGAGGAGAAATAGGAATATTTATCAAAACGTCTATTGCTCACTTATGATCCAGGCCCTGTTCTAAGTGCTTAGTCATCCCTACAGTATCATGATAAGGAAGCCAGATACATAGAGGCTAAATAGCTTGCTCAAGGTCACATACATTTTCCCAAAGACACAGAAATTCTGAACATATATTTTTTGTTATGTACATATACATTTCAGGTCAAAAGAGAAAAAGGTACGCTCCATATGCCAAAAATGAGTAGCAATTCCGTATGTACCCTGGTGAGCTGAGTACTTTAGTGATGATTACATACATTCCCTATGGTGTTTGTTTCAAATTAATTGTTATAGGGGAACAAGAATCAATGCCTGCTTCATAGCAGGAAGCGTGAAAAGGGATTATAGGTCAGACGTAAAAAATGTCTCTAGCCATGGGTAGAAATAGAATCTCGAACAAGAAAGTGAAGAACAAGCTAGAGCCATACCTGGAGTCTGATTTTTACCACTCATAACATAGAGATCCCAAGATGGAAACTGAGAAGAAATTTGAGAATCTATGAATCCTTAACACTTAGGTAGGGGCAGTTATGGGGAGGTCTCCATGATCTATGGCACTAGTAGAAACAATCCCACCATCCCACCATCACATCTAAAAGATACTGAAGATGAGCTCACATACAAAAATTATAAATTATTAAAAATTATAATAACCAGCTCTATACTCGTAGTACAGTGGTTACGGCGTCAGCCACATACACCAAGGCTGGCGGGTTGGAACCCAGCCTGGGTCAGCTAAGCAACAATGACAACTGCAACAAAAAATATCCGGGCATTGTGGCAGGTGCTTGTATTCCCAGCTACTTGGGAGGCTGAGGCAGGAGAATCGCTTAAGCCCAACAGTTTGAGGTTGCTGTGAGCTGTGACACCATGACACTCTATGGAGGGTGAGATAGTGAGACTCTGTCTCAAAAAAAAAAAAAAATTATAATAACAAAGTATAAAACATTTGAGGCCGTTTAATATGAAGAAAGGCATCCCTGGCTCAGTGCCCATAGCACAGTGGTTATGGCATCAGCCACATAAACCAAGACTGGCAGGTTCAAAAACAGCCCTGGGCCAGCTAAACAACAATGACAACTGCAACAAAAAATAGCAGGGCGTTGTGGTGGGTGCCTGTAGTCCCAGCTACTTGAGAGGCTGAGACATGAGAATCGCTCAAGCCCAAGAGTTTGAGGTTACTGTGAGCTGTGACGTCACAGCACTGTATCAAGGACGACATAATGAGGCTCTGTCTCAAGAAAAAAAAAATGAAAAAAGAAAGGCATCCCACAAAAAATGGGAGAGTTGACACATGTGGAAATAGAAGTACTAGACCAATATACAATAAAAAGAGACTTCAAAAAATAAGTATGTTTTTAGTTTCAGAAGTGGATGTGTGGAATTGTTACCTTCATGGGATTTTAAGGATTGGGGTATAATGATTAAGGCTCTTCTGTCATCAGTCAGATAGTAAATTTGAGCAAACTAGGCATCCACAAATATTTGAGCTTCATTGGAGAAAAGGGTTAAAAATCTTGTGTGTGCAAAGCTACCGTCCCAGGATGCGTAGCCTGCTATAACAAAATTCCATAGATTGGGTGGCTTACATGACAGAAATTTATTTTCTCGCAGCTCTGGAGGCTAGAAGTTTGAGGTCAAGACGTCAGCTGATTTGGTGTCTTCTGAGGCCTGTCCCTTGCCATATCCGCACATGGTCTTTTTTCTGTGAATTCGAATGTTTGTGTTCTTAATCACTTCTTCCTCCATGTAAGGACACCAGTCATGTGGGATTTGGGCCCGCGCATATGACCTCATTTTGCTTTAATTACCTCTTTCATGGGAGTTAGGACTTCATATGAATCCTGGGATTACACAGTTCAGGCCGTAACAGTTCAAGCTCCTTTACTTCCACTTTGACATACTGATTCCACCAATCGCTAACTAACTGTGTGACCTTCAACTAGTAACATAATCACAACTTGACTCACTTTCTCCTCTGCAAAATGGGATTGATAAAAGGCACCCGTTTCATAGGGTTGCCATTAGAATTACATAAACTAATACACGTAAAACTCTCAAAAATAAGCACCTTTAAAGTGCTTAAGTCAATGGACTAAAATCTATAAAACAAGAATAGAAAATTAATTTTTTAAAAACCAGATTAAAAAACTAAATAGAAATTGTAGAAATAAAAAGAAAAATTGCATGTAAAGAATCTTAACTAGGCACACCTTGAAGTTGAGTGAGATTTATTGATTTGAAAGATAATATCTGAGAAAAATCACCTAGAATGAAGCACCAGGAGGTAAAGAGAGACAAATAAGAAAGAAGTTTAAAAACATGTATAGACTAAATCAAGAAAGCCCAATATCCACTGAATAGGTTGTTCTGACAGAGAAAATAGAAAGTGGAGGCCTTTGGGAGGAGCATTCAAGGACAAATTCCAAGGTCAAACTGACATGACCATTGCTCTCAGAACTGGAGAGGGGGCTGGACCAGAAGGCCACCGTGACCTGGGGGTGTTATGCCCGAAATATTCTCCCAAACAGCCCAAACAGACGAATCCGAGACACACTCCGATGTAAAAAGCACGAGATGAGTTTTATTCAGGCCCCGGGAAGCCTGGACTCTCCTGGCATGCAAGCCGAGGACGAGCCCCGAACCTGGGGTGGAGGAAGTTTTTATGGGGTACAGAAAGCAAGAGGGGTAGGGTCAGATACGAGTACACTTTTCA